ATTCATTGAAAATCTGAATGTTTAGTATTTAAAATACTTCCACCAATTATTGATATATAATATTTTGATAAATAATGATATTTTATTGATATTTAGAAGTAAATTTTTTAAACACAAATTTTTTATTTAAAAATGCATATATTTAAAAAATGAATTTTAAGATTATAAGATTAACTAAATAACTAAAAAATCGCAGAAACATGATGCTGATCAAATTACTTTTCAAAGTGTAAAACTTTAATAAATAAGATATACTATTATCTTCTTATTTAACATATATATAAGTATTATCTTAATTATTATTTAGTTTAGCATTTTACATAAGAAATATCCTATATTTAATAATAAAAAATTTAATTTAAACAACTCCACAATATGAAGATTTTTGTTCAAATTATTTTTCAACTTTTCGAGAATAGCACATAGTAATAAAGTTTAATTTTTTTAAGTATCATTAATTAAATTTTATTAATAATAGAATAAGTTATAAAAAAATTATAACATCCTTTAAGATGGATAGCATTTTCAATGAATGAAATTATATGATTGTCAGACTACTTTATTAACAAAAAATATAAATTGTATGAATTTGTGTTACAAGATTTCGATTATCAGAAACGAAACATGTTTGAGTGCAGTAGTAGAAGTAAAAATTGGATAAAGAAAGATACTCTGATGATCCATTATTTTGCGATTAGGCATATTTTTCTTGATTGCCGTATCACGCGAAAGTAATACATAACCGCGGCATCTCATCGCCACTTCGTACTATAAATTTATAAGCTATTTCACCCAACCCCTTGTTCAATTAATGACAATTGAATCATGATATTGTAAATAAATTAGTGACGAAATTGTGTTGAATATTATTTTTATCTATATAATATTATAATATATAATAATATTATAAAAAATCGCTAATTACTCAATAAAATTAGAATACTCTTTTTATACTTAGAAAATGTCGTTGTGTAAGACATTGTCTTTTCACGACACTATTCTACTATTTCTAATATAATCACTTGACAGATCAACGAAATCAATTGAATTGAAATTTTGTATTAACAAAATTCAAGTTAACATAAGACAATGACCTTAATTATTGCAATACCTAAATGTATTTATACTATTAGAATTATTTATTAGCCTCTGAATTGTTAATAATTAGTTGAATAAGTTCATAATTCTTTTTATCTAAATTAACATACATGCTAATTTATGAACACCATAAGCTCTAACCCCTTAAAAATATTTCTTTGGCCCATGACAACAAATAGCTATTCCGAAACTTGTTTGTATTTGCTCTCAAAATGCATGATCTATTTCAGAATTTTTATAAGTACAAACAAAATTTTATTTTATGATACTATTACTGAAATACCCTCTATTTATTTTTCTCTATTACTCGATTGCTTAAATTAGCATTTGTATGATAATTACCTACAAATCCGAGACATTTGCAAACAATAATATTAAAATAACAATATAATTTACATACAGATATATTAGAAGAATGAGATGAGATAAATATTATAAAGTGAAATTGCCACTTAGTTAAAATTAGGTTAAAATAAAATTCGTTGCAGCTCTTGTCTAGTGTCATATACAATAATAAGTAGGAATTTGCAGCGTTGGATCGGAAAATCAGCGGCGTTTCTATGCTATGGTGACGACTTCGTTTTTTTTTTCTATAACATGACAAATAAGAATGCGAGAGGGGAGGGGGTCACAAAATAGCAGATGAAAATGTAGATGAGGAAGAGAGACAAATGGATATGACGCAATAGAAAATACAAATAGTTAGTTCTAGCTTTTAGTTCTGCTAGTACTTTAAAGAAAAAATACTTAAATGGGAAACAAAATTTGACCAACTTAATAATTTAAAAGATTTATATGAGAGGTAAGCTACGATGATATATTATTGGACATTAATGTTATATAATAAAGCTACATATACTTTTGAGTACTTAAAAATTTTATTTAATTTTAGATTTCAACCTTAACTTTAGAACAATGAATACATTCTTTGTTAATTATAAGTGAATAATAAATGTATCACAAAGAAAGATTTACAAGTAAAAAAATCGATAAGTAGAATTATATATGCGAAATATTACATGCAACAAATAATTATTTTATATTTTCCAGCTATTGGATGAATATATATCCCTATTATAAATATAGAGATTATTAGGTATTATATAAAATTTCTAAATTCAAACTAAAATCTTGAATGAAAGGATCAGTTCTTATTTATGAAATAAATTTAGGAAACTTGAGAATTTTAATTTTCCGTATAATTCATACGGAAATGAAATATATAAATATCAATAATATTTTCAGATTTCAAAGTCAAATTATACTTATATATGTCATTATATTTTCTTTTCTTGTTAATTTTCAAATTCTATTTAAAATAAAATGAATATAAATTTTAAACAATAATTATTATTAAAAAAATGGCAGCATATTTGAGAATCAATTAAGTTAAATCGAAGTTGAATAAAATTTGAATAGACAATCAAACTACTTTTTGTGACTATCCATACTTGAGTATAAAATTATAAACGCTTTGCATCAACGAGACAAAAGTTAAAACAGAAAGCAATCGCGTGTTGACTATACTAAATTTTATTGCTTTTTTAATTTTATAGTATAATGGAAAACATTTTAAAAAGTTTGTTAATTAATTGTATGATTAACAAAGTAATTTTAATAATTAAACATTATTAAAACAATAGATTTTTTATACAAAGTACTTGGTATCATTCTAAATATAATTTCTATTGTTTACAATGATTTTCAATTAATAACGTTACCTATTTCAACGTTAATATGAATTAGCCAAAATTATAAATGTATTTTTTAAAAAGATGGTGCTTAACATGAAAATTGAATAATAATAACTTATTGTCGTTATAAAATAGAAACTTAATTACAACACATAGTATCAAGCGTAAATGTGAATAACGATGCAATATATGTCATAATATAAAAACTATCAAACATGTTGAAGGGAAAATGAAATAACAAATAATCAAATAACCGACAGTGAAAAAACAGCAGGATTAAAGAAAATGCAGACTAGAATCTGGAATAGCTTGGAAATTCAAAAATAGAAGCGGTTCAAAGATATGCAGAACTACCACTAAATGAAGTAAAGTAAAAAAGTGAAATAGTAAAAGTAACAACAAGAATACTTTGGAGTTTAGTATCTTACGCTTTCTAGATTCGCTTTAACACATAAGAGCAACAGTGGCAGCAGTAAAAACAGCATTCGTTGCTTCGTTACGAAGTAACACAATTTTCTCACAACGGAGTCTCGATATGTCGTTCACGGATTGCACAGGACGACAAAATAACCCACCCGATAAATGGCAAAAGCGCACCCTACCTCCATCCCCCTCGATGCCTCAACGTGGGTGGCTGAAGAGAGAAGGGATATCGCGGGGCGGTGGCAGTGGTGGCGACGAGCTTTCGCCTTCACTTTCAGCGTATACGCGTGCTCTCGCTTTCGATCGAGTCAGACCCGTCGCCCTCGCTGAGAGGGAAAAGCGCAACCTGGAGGGGGGAGGACTGGCGGTCATATCGACCAGGAAGATGCGCGTGGCAATGCGTGTGGCCCAGCAAAGGAATGAAGATGGGAGTGAGAAGATAGAGAAAGAAGGAGAGAAATCTACGCCACCTGGCCGCAGATACAACGAGGGGGGGGGGTCAACTCCTCTGACCCTTCACAAAATTCTTGGCAAAGTGATATGCTCACGTCCTTGTGCTTTATATACTTTACAATTGTATATAAATCAGATGGTTCCGAAGAACAATTTCATGTTTTTTGTAGGCATGAATTTTTTCACTTCCACGAAGAATTCGTCTTGATAAAGAAATATCTAATACAACCTATAATATATTGACACATTGAAGAGTAGTTTGTAATGAACAAGACAGCAATCGCAAAAACCAATAATTTAATGAAAAGAATAATTATTTTATACCAATTACCAATTCTACAATTATTTTTGTAGCTGGATATTTTTTATATTCCAGTGTTAACTTCTCATCAAAATTTTTTACCTTAAAATAAATACGAAAAATATTTTTAAAATATGTTACAGATACATTAATACTTTATTAAATAAAAATGAACAAACTAGAGTATAATGATGAAATATGAATTTTTACCTCTGAATAAATATATCAAAAAGATTATATCTTTTATTGTTTTACGCAGTATTTCTACAGCATTTTGATCTTTTGAATATACTTAAAAATTAGAAGTAATTAATCTCATTCCGTTATATTTTGAGATAAATAATAATAAATAAATAAATTAATAAAATTATAAATATATTCAGATATCTAATTTAAACAAGAATTTTTCTTGAAAATTATATATGTAAGTAACAATACAAGTTTTGATTTAATTTTAGATATTTATATAAATATATATGTAAATTAATGCATTTACATTATATATCTTTGTTTCAATTTTGTCTTATGCAATACATAAAAAACTCTCTGAATATTTTTATTTTATTCTTTTTATTTATCATAATTTTATATGTAAACTTATATAAAATTTAAGTTTGGAATAATATTGTATCATAAGAATATTTTGTATTATTAATTCAATCTTAAAATTAAGTGTTTTAAATTATAAACAGTAACCATAAATTGTAAATTAATTTATAATTATTATAATCGATAAGTTACGTTTTTCATATAAATTTTTCAAAAATATTCTACGATTTCAGATTATGTACTGATACTTTAAAAATACAAATGAATTTGTTTAAAATTAGTCTTTCAGATTAAAAATAAAAAATTATCAATCTATCAATAATAAATAAAGGGTGCAACGAATAAAACATTGGGATACATATAAAATGATTAAAGAGAGGAAAGAAATTAACTAATTTTCAAGTCTCGTGTTACGTTTAGATTTAAATGGAACAAAAGCATAAAGGCTACATTGTATATGAAGAAAGAACAAATTTTCTTACCTTAGTAAGTAGTTGACACAAACAACGGATAGCGGCTTCTGTAACCTTGAGCAGTGAATAAGTGTTGCTTGGGTAACAACCCAAGCATAGCCGCCGCTCTTATTCAGAAAGCGGTAGGCCATTGTCTCGCATTGTCCTTTGCTGAACACTACAAAATATGAAACGTAAGAGAATTAGTTATAATTATCATATATCATATTATATATTTGCATTAGACTTTTAGAAAATGTACATAATACTAAATAATGTAAATAATACTAAAAGTACGAGTCAATTGACGATAGTTGATCTATTTATACTAATCAGAGAACAAAAAGTAAACACGTTACCTATTTCCTATGATCGGGAGATGTAAACCTATTTAAATCGCCTGTTTATAATTCTAATAAGAATTACAACGGAATAAATAATAAAGACAGTTTCACCGAGCTTAAGCTCTATTTAAATATACACCAAATTCCCAAAAATAAAATTACTTGAAAAAATGTACAATTACTGATAATAAGGTTGAATGCATTAGAATGGAAAAAATAATTAAATTCAAGAATTATTTTATATTATTATTTATATATACAATAAGACTCTATTTTTTAATTAGCTTGACAAATATATTATGTTAAGCTGCAGAAGATACATATTACACTAGCAAATTAAATATTGCTCCTAATATTTAAATTATTAAATTATAGTTTAAATTATAGATGTAATTATGTGGCTTCTAAGTAAAGATATAATCGATATTCCTCAGGTCTGACATGGAACATTAAAAAAAAACAATTATTTCATCGCAATATATTCATCTTCTGCTACACATAACAACAATTGTATAAATAATTACTTGTGTTGGGGACAGCTAATAAAATTTATGAATCGTTGACGTATAATGAATCTAATATCATTACATGTTTTCATAATACTTTAAATCAAAATTTACACACGCACACACACGCACACACACATGTATGATATGAAACAAGTGAGTATACTTGTTAAAAATTTCAAATGTAGCGCGGCGATTTTAGTTTCCCCTCTAAATGTTATTGTCGAAAGATCCCAGCGAATCTATATAGATAAATATAAATTAGGGGATCATTAACCAAACACACGTACATTGAAAAAAATATAGTAGTATCATAGAAAACGAAAAGACAATACGTGACAAATTTCCACAAGAATTCCTCAATTTATAGTTCACCTAACTAGTAGCTTCACTTTTAAAATCATTATTCAGTCTATTCAATTGATTGCAAAATATTTTGTCCTGTGTATATAAGAATAACGAGCTTTATTCGGCGTAATTTTGGTCAATAAAGTTCGAAAGCATACGAGTATTGTTGAAATGGAACTTCAAATCTTAAATTATGAAAATTAAATTGCACTCTTTTATTAACTTTTGCAATTTCTGATTCTTGCTTTGAAAACGAAAATAGTTACATCAATCAATATTAATAATGTTACTGTTGTCATAATTTTAATTTAGACAAATTATATGATGAAACGTGGATCTTAATTTAAAATGTCAAACTTTTGATTATTTTATCAAATAAATATAATATTTTTCATAGATTGTATTCAAATTTAGTTTTCGTAATTATATGCATAAAATAAAATCTCCCAATAAATCCTATTCTACAAAAATATTTATAAATGTCCGTAATCAATATTTAGGTATTGTTGAAATTAATTTTATTAATAATACCTTAAGTCTTACATAGTTATTGAAGTTCGAATGTTAAAATTATATAAACAATTTTTTTCATTAATAACGAACTCTAATAGTTAAAGATCATTTTTAATCTATTAAATATAAAAATTCTATATTTATGGTATATTTTTTTTATTAAAAATATACAAATTATTTGATATGGTATAATTCCATTATCATTATATCATTATATATCATAATTAAATAAAAACTAATAAAATAAAAATATTATTAATATAAATACAAAAATATTTTTTCAAATTATGATTTTAATAAATAAATACTATAATATTCAAGGAACCTTTCCATTAAAAAAATAGCTTTTTCACAAACCTACTCAAATCACTTTATTTACAACAAAAGTTTATGATATTTATATAATTTATAATACATAATAAATATTACATCTATAGTAAACAAAATTATATTTAAACTCATAAATAAATAGTAATAAAATTTGTGTTTTCACATACACATGCAAATATTTATGCAAAGAGACAGGCATGCACTGCTATAATTAGATAGTCAATTAATATTATGACAAATATAAATTTATAAATTTTTGTAAATTATAACAAAAATAGTATTTTCATATAATAAAATAACTCATTAAATAAATTACATATTAAATTTTATATATTCTTCAAAGAATTATGTAAAAATATAGATTATCTGCATAGAAAAATTTAACTTCGAAATATAACACATTATATTTTTATACTGTTTCAATATTTAAAAAATTCCTAAAATATACTATATAGAATAAATTTGTAAGTTACTGCTTCAGTAAATTATGGTTTTTATATTTTAAATTAAAATTATTTTAAAATTACTGATTTAATATACTGTATTATAGATTAAAAAATAAAAAATACTATTATATTCTACTAGACAATAAATATTTATCATGAAGTATTATATGCCTTAATTTAATTATCGATTTCATAAATATGTATTATTAAATTCATCATTATTTTGAAATGATATATTTAGGTATGTAGTTCAGAAAAGTATACCGAAAGAAATATTACAGCAAAGTTAGTTTTGTGTTAAATGAAAATAATGTTAAAATTATATCAAGATCTACTCCTCAATACTTGAAGTATTAATAAAATTTTTGTTATTAAAATATTTATTTTTAATTTTGTTTGAGTAAAATAAGCTTAGAAACAGTTTTAAAAATTTATAAAATATAATTAAGTCAATAATCATACTAATTTATTTTGTTTTACATATGTTATAATGTATTCGACATGCAATAATTATTAAAACGATATTTTAAGAATACAAAATTTTTTAAATTTATATATTTTTAATTGTAATCAAATAGATCTTGTTCTAATTTAAAATGATGAAAATTAATAACTTACATGATTTAAAATATTTGTCCAGGGATAAATTATCAAGAGCATGATGGAAATCAAAAACAGATTGCCCTATTAATTCATTGCTTTCCCAGCCAAGAAATTCCGCCAATCTATAAAAAAACACGTTTTGTAAATCCTTGATAATGCGATCTTAAAATAAATACCAAAACATATTTTTATTTAATATTTGAAACACAAATGAAAATAAAGATTAATTACAAATTCTTCCGAAATACACTTATACCTATACAAAAATATGTTTACGTTTCTATCTTATTGTGTCTAAATATTTTAAATATTAAAATAAATAATTATTCCTCATTCTAAAATTGATCATTTTCTATACAATTATAATTGTATTATAATTGTAAAGAATTATTATATTATATCTATTATTATTATATTATATTATTAATATTAATAATATATTATAAATAATTAATAGATATAATATAAATATTATATCTATACAATTCTTTTTCATATTTATCTATCGATGAAATTAACTCATTAAACATTTTAATTTTCTTATAAATATAATGAAATAAAGTTTTACGAAATGAATTATAATTTTATTATAATTATGATTGCATCTTACATTTCGAATAATTTTGATTTTACAAATAAAGAAATCTTAATTGATACTTTTATTAACTATTTTTAATTGGCTTTAATATTTTTATTTAATTATTAACAAACTTAAATAATTACAGTTTATTAAATGTTATTTTTATACAATTAAGCTGAAAAGTTTGCATCTTTAATTTTATTTGTTCAAAAGCACATATTTATTTTATTGAAATGTAATAAACAAAAATTTATGAATTCTATATTTTCATTTTTAATGCATAATTTTATACAAATTTATCAGTAAAATCATTAATTTGCTTACTTATATGAGGGTAATATATTATATCTCGCTCTAAATTATAAATTTTATTAATGAATTCTTAGCTACTTTTGCTGATATTGCAATGTTTCATCAATGGAATAAAAATAAAAAGTAGTTAAGTAATAAAAATAATTTTGTTAGAAATATTTTATTTTAACATATTTCTAATTTTTTACAAATAGCAAACACCAATTTTTTTTATATTTATCATTTATACCTTTTTTTATTATTGAATTATTTTGATATCTAAATAAACAATAAGCATATCGATATTTTAATATTGTATTTTATCTAATATTTAAAATTTACTAATGATTAAAATACAAAGCAATAAAACAACGAAAATATAGCAATGTATTATAAAATACATTATTCGATAAATTAATACAATTGATTCGTTCGTTAATAATAAAAATAAAGTTTTGTCTGTATTTATCGTTACAATAATTAATATGCTATGATTTAAATGTCTAATTTCGTGTCAAAATAACATTTACTATTAAGCTTACATATATAATAGCAATTAATATAAGATGAAAATCATAATTTTCATTAATACTTTTTAATGTACGGAAGAAATAAAATATTATTTAGTCCTAATTATTTATATACATACAGATTGTTTTATTTAATACACGATTGTTAAAATATTAAAAAATATTCTATATTATTCTCTTTATATATAACTAATAAAATTTCATACTAATTTTTAAGTATTAAAAACGTATAAATACAATATCAAGCTCACTTTAATTCTATATGTAAGTGGAAATTGCTTTGAAACATCTTGTCAAAACTATTTTTTACTTTCAGTTTGTGTAGATTTCATATGAATCACCAATTTATAAATTATTTGAATCTAAATTATCTTCACAGAAAATTGATTTTTTTTTAAATAGTATTTAATTAATTCTATATTATATACATGATTCGATAAATTGATTTATTATTAATTTACTTAATACACTGTAATTATTATAATTTCTAGATTGATGATTTTAAATTATTATCTACAGTATTTAATGTTTATGTTTTGTAGTTTACTTATACTGTTGGAAGTTTAAAATTGCATAAATTTCTATTATATTGTATTAATATAAAAGAATAACTAATAATCTTTAGATTGACGTCCTTCTCGTAAAATAAAACAATTTATATTGTCTTTTGTTTGTCTTTCAAATTTCAAATTTCACGTCATAAAAACAAAAGGTAATTTATACTTCATATATAAAATATAGGAACTTATAAATTTAATGATGCTACTAACTTATCATCGGCGTAGGTAAACTTCATATTGAGATTATGTTTCGACAAAAAGGTATATTTGCCTAAAGGTATTTCGATATTACTGGGATGGGGTACTGGTGAGGCGACGACAACGAGAAATATGCCTGGTTGTTTTTCATCATTTTCCTCTTGATTTTCCAAATCTCTCGTACTCGTGTTTTCATTTTTACTGGTATTCAATAGTGCTATTAAGCGACCCATGCAGTGTATTACCTTAAAGAATTAATAACTTTTTTACTAATTTAGAATTTATAAATAAATAATAAAAAATTATGAAATGATATGTATTAAGGAATCATATTTAAAAATTAGGAAAGAATAATGCACAGTTTGCTATTTTTTACATAGGTTTTTAACTAAATTTAATTATTAGAGGTCATAATATAATATCGCATAATAATAATCGCATAATTATGATATTTTGTTTAAAAAATAATATATGCTATCTTTTTCATTTTAATTCGTTTTATTTAGTTTTATGTAGACATAATTATTAAACAATATTCAGGAGAAATCGTATTAAATTTTGATCGGCCGATATGTATTTTATTGTTTTTATTATTTTTTTTTGTTTTTATTTTACATTTTTTATATCAATAAATTTATTTTAATATGAATTAATAATTTATTTTTATAGTTTACTATTTAAAAATTTGATTTTGTTTTTTTATCTTGTTTTAGGTGGTATCACAAATGCATTGAAACATTTATTGACGATAAATAATATTAGAAATTCAAAAATGCTAAGTTAGGACTGCGAACCTTATAAGATGCACTTTTGAGATTAACTTTTCGACCTTTACTGGTAAGTGTGCATTTTAATCTCAAAAAAAAGTTGCAAGGATGATCAATATTGATTTCGGATGCTTTCAATGAAAAGGAATCCCTAATTTCATCGTGATCACATGGATGACTGTAATCAAAGACACTTTGACCCATTAAATCCATCTACGAAAAAAAACAGATGTCAGACAAAATGTGATGGATAAATAAATGAAAGTATTTTTAATTTTTACAACAGTTGTAGAAAAATTAATCCATCTTAGATAATTTAAAATAGGCCTTCAAATAAACACCTTAGTTTATTTTTTAAAAGCCAATTTTCAATGTTAGAATAAGAGTTCTAATGTAATTTAAACGTGATTAATAATCTCAAATGTAAAAATGAATATATAATAAAAAAATTATTGTTTAATCTAATGTGTAATTATAAATATATTATTGTAATATTCAAGCTATAAATACTGTCATTTACTGAATCTTTAATTTTGACGAATATCTTAACATAATACCATAAAATTATATAAGCTTGTGCTTTCAATCAAAAAATCTTACCTGAGATATTCCGAGGTGATCTTTAACGTTTTGAGAAAGATAAACCATATCACCATTGTTATCTAATATAAGTATAAAGCCATCCAAAGCTTTAAGAAACAATTCATCTATCTCCGGCGAGCTCTCTGATTTACTTGGTAGCTTTGGAACTGTAATCAATGAACAATATATTTTTCTATACATTAGTTAAATTTTATGTAACTTTCGAGGTACTTAATTTTTATAAATATCCTTTTTATATATTATATAAATATTATATAAATAAAAATATTAATAAAAATTTATATTATGCTTAATTTTCTACGCAACTATTTAATTTTCTTAATTATTTCATAAAAAGTAATAAACTTTTAACGAATGTAATGAATACATATTATAAACTCTTCAAATTATAATTTAAATTTAAATAATTTATGATAAGACATAAATTGATTGTTACAAAAATACTGTTATTTTGGCTAAATATTATGTTTGCAATTAAGTTCAAATATAATATAATATTGATATAGAATTTTTTTAAATAAAAAATTTACTCCATAAATATAAATCAATTTTTCAGCTATTTATTGCTAATACATTTTGTAACAAACTTTCCATATTTAATTATAAATTATATTTTTGGTTTTTATTGATATTATTTAATAGCAATTGGAGATATTGATTAATATTTAAATGTAAATAAATTAAAATAATCATTTATTTATTTATATAACAGCATCCAAATACAAAATATTATTAAATTATACTTATATAAATTATATACAATATTGCATTAATGATAAAAATATAAAATAATTATTGTATTAGTATCGTTCAACAAATGTATAAAAAAATCTATTCGGTAATTCTTGTCGCAAAATTTCCTAACATATACAAGCACAATTTATAGTAATCAATTAATTTTTCTTTTATATATTTGCTAAATGATACCACACTATTCTTTTAATATGCTCATAAGTTGTATTATCATATAAATATTTATAGCAATAAATTATTAATTATAAAATTAAATAATTTTCTTCTTTTTAATTATCTTATTAATATTTTATTAATACTAATATTATAGTAAAAAAACATTTATTATTTGTTCCAAATTAAATTTATTCTAATTTTGTTTATAATGCAATACCCTCATAAATCTCTTAAATATATATATATTATGCTTCAAGAGAAATAAAACAACCACAGTAGATATTTTTAAATAAACGTTCTATTTATCTTATTTATATTTTTTTATTAAAAAATTATACAAATAAAATTTAATATTAATATTAAATTAACACGTAAAAACCTTATTGAATGTCTATATTAGTCCGATTGGCTTTTATAATTAATAACTATTTTATAATAAATATTCAGCGATAATTCAATTTAATTTACAATAATAGAATTTTCAAAATTATACCTACAGTAGGTACAGTGTGTTTATAGAATTTTATCTTATAAATAATTTAATGAAATATCTACAATTTTTTTTAAAGTTTTAAATTATATGAACATTTTTTTATTAATTTCTAGTTTAATAATTTTAACACAAATTTGAAACGTATTGATAACGGTTTATATTATTTCAAATTTAAAATTCACATAATTTTTATTTTTATATTAATACTTAAAATTTTTAAATCTCGCGAATCAAAAATTTTTAATATATATGTTAAATTATAATAAGTATAATTTTATATTTAAATAATTTCTATTAAATACAAGGCTAAGATAATATAAAAAGCTTTGATTAGATAAGAATATTAGTGATAGAATACGCAATTTAAATTTTGGGAAAGATTTTTATGTTGGTGTAAAAGTCAATATCAATTCACATTGTTAAGTAAACACTAATGCAGTTGTTTTTAAATTATCAATGAACTAAATATAACTTTCTAAGATAACAAATAAAATAGTTTCATTTTTTTAATTGTTACATGTGTTAATATTTAGTTTCTAAAAAATGCGGTTTTATAAACCTTAGGAATTAGAAATTAGAAACTAGAAGTTATAGACTAATATACCACTATACAATGTTTAATTTCTAGTTGACCATATACACATTACTATTTACAAAAATATTAACTAAAATAATTACTCTGTCAGAAATAGAACAATAATCCATATGACACTGATATTCATTCTATTAAATTTTATCCACACTTAATTAGCATTCAAGGATTCTCATCTGTAGTTAATTTGTTGACAATGCATAGATATACTGAAGTTTACTTTAAGACAGATTTATACTCAGGTTTTAGCACTTATTTTAGTATTATTATATGTTTATTCCAGCCTGATGAAATTATGCATTACTTTAAATATAAAATTTATTTTTATAATTTGTATAATATTTTAGTTTAATATTTTCATTTATTATATAAGTATATATTTTTAATAATATCCATAGTCAAGTGTCTAAATAATATTTAAAATTATAAGTTTCATTTACAAGAATTCTAATTTGATACAAATTCCTTATATCTAAGTATATTATAATTCTAAAAAACAAAAATTACATGTAAATAACAAAATTAAGAAATAAATAGAAAAATTTATTTGTTGAATATTCATCAAGACCTATTTTGGAAAAAATAAGATAATAAACAAATGTTTATAGTCAAAATTTAAATTATACAGATAAAATTATATTAAACATTATTCTCATATAAATATTTTTATCTTTTACCATAGTTTTTATCGATATATTGAAAAATAGTAAAGTGATTATTATTATTGCATTAACAATTATCTAAGTAATATTGTTATTTATATTTAAGTATCACATACTAATGTTTCATACAAGTAAAAGCAATAGCTCCTGAGTTTTTCATAGGCCTTCTTTTTTTTATGAGCTATGATAATATATACTATTGTTTGATAGATTATAAATAAATATGTAAATATGTAAAAAAATATAAATGAATATTGAAACCCATTTGAAGTTGCATTATTTTATACCACATTCTATAAAAATATAAAAAGTTAAAAAGTTACAGCGATTATAAAACTATTTTGAAAAAATACTTAATTGTATTTGTAATATTACGTATTTATAGTTTTCAACAACTTTTTTAATAACCATAAATGACAATGTATTTATCTATACGTATCTATATATAATATACAGTATATAAATCTATATAATTCATTTTTAAATCGCTTTAATTTCTACTTCCTTTTAAATAATATAAGAACATGTAATTGTTGAAGAAGAAAATTTCAGTAAAATTTATGTATTAACAACACAGGTACACTTATCATTTTCTCTGATATAATGTCACTAGAATAATACAAACATATGTGTGTGTACATTAACGGTAGCATCGAGGTCAACTTTAATATGCTTAATTTCTGCACTAAACACGAATATAAGAAAACAATTTGATTATCAATTCAAAGAGTAGTTATGTACTTGAAGTGAAAAATTAAAGTTAAACTCGCTTTGATAAAATATAAAGCTTATTATAATTATGAATTTATGCAGAAGTATATTCAAATAAAAAAAAACATAAGATGATAAAATTCAGGAAAGGATTTTTATACAAATGATTCAAATAAATTCGAGTATATAAATTAAAATTAGGGAACCATCTATCAGATCAATCGAGGTCATTGTATATATATACGTCCCTTGATCTCAATTGACAATTAATTTTTAAATTGCAGCTCTTTTATAGTATCACAAAACAAACCATCCTACGAACATTTCTCTTAAAAAGATTGAATCTAAGTTAATAAAAAAGTACCTTCTGAAAATAATTATAACTTATGAAATATGACCATAAAATAAAAAATTATCTCTAAATAAAATTATATTAAACCTATTTATTAATAAAGTAATAATTATTTTTCTAATTTTTAAATATAAAAAATATGAAACAAAACTATTGTTATAAATAAAAAATTGTATATAATTAAAATAGTAATCGAATTTATTATCGAACAATTTATTTGTATAATTTATATATTTTAATACCTTACCTAAAACCGCATAGATTCTTTTTTGTTTATATAATAATTTGAATAATGCAATTTTCCCCCTTTTCTATTACCGTCATTTTACATTTACAGTAAAATTAACTTAAATGAAATAGAAACTTCAATAGCGAAAAAAATTTAAGAATAGCTTCTTATATCAATGTAATATCAATGTTGCATGTGTAATACTCACTACTCGCTAACTCTTAGTCATAACAAGTATCGCAATAAAAGCTCACATGCATCCATAAGAGTGCGGGCCTTAAGGTAAGCAATGGCGAGCCTCATGACACTGGCCTTGTCAAGGTGTGCAGCTTCGCAAGGCGACACCGGAAGAGCCGCTGCAAGTTCCGTAAAGATATCTGTCTCACGACTACGTCGGCATCGCGCTGCATCACGCGATTTTTCCTTCCGCTTTTCGTTACTCCTAAAAAAATCAATATTCAATTCCAATGTTTAATCAACATCTTTAACTTTTTAATCAATAACTTGAAAATAATCTGCTCAACCAGAATTGAAACAGAATATAAGAGAAAGATAAGGTAATTGCAATTAATAACCAATGATTTTTTTAGAAATAGTTGAAATAAATAAATATTGACATAGATTTATATATATCGTTGTGTTTAGCTATAGAATGTAGATTAAATTAGTGATAAAATATTATTATTTATGTTCCAGATATATTTCCGATTCTTAGAATTTTAATTCTAAGATAATTGAATTCATCTGATAAATAATTTAATATATAAATTGAAAAATAAATGTCACCACTTAACAAATATTAATATGTTAATTCGTTACTGTGTATTACTATAAAAATCTGAATAAGTATATCACTGCATAAAAATCAAAATTATATTTTTTTTTTTACATTTTTTCACCAAATTTCATTTTTTATTAATTACATAAATAAAAATTGTTGCACTTAGAAATAAAAATATACTGTTTGATAAAATCCATCATTGTTTAACGTTCTAAATTAATATTTATAAACTGTTTTTAAACTATAAGGAAGATATCTATGAGTCTTTTAAATATATGTAAATATGAAATTTAGATAATATAGTTGATTAAATATATAATTTAAGTATAGTTTAAGAATATTGAATTTAAAATTTTTTTCATCAAATTTTAACCTTTAATACAAAACTCTTGCATCATTAACCCTCACTAATATATTATTCTTCTTTTACACTACTAAATGCGCTATTATATTAGATATAATAACAGTATAAAATATTTAAGCAAATGAGTAAAACGATTTATTTAATCTTACATAAATAATTAATTTTTATTTATATATTTACTTAATATTTCTATGGCATAATTATATAATGTTTAATAAATCTAAATTAAATCTAAATCTAAATTCAAATAAAATTTGCATATTGACAATATTGAGTATAATAATCACGTTAATTAATTTTATCATAATGTCTATAAAATCAATCGATTTTCAATGAGTTAAGATAAAATTCATTTTATAAAGTATTTTTTATTTTGTGCTCATCAAGATAAAAAAAATCGCTAAAAAGGAATCAAATTGTATAAAGTATTTAATTTAATATTATTTCTATAAAATTTTCAAGTTAAAAAATTGGCAATAACTTTTACATAAAATACTTTTATTAATGCAAATATTTAAAGAAATATTTATTAATTTAATCAAATAAAATGTATATAAAATCCAGCATAAATTCAATTATATTGTTTTAAAATAATCGACTTTGTATGATCTCTTAGAATTAACGATATAAAAATTTTCATCCTCATTACATTTCCATCAATTAAGTAACTATTACAATTACATATAATAGTACAATGATATGAATTAATCTAATAAGCATATTTCTGTTTAAATACAAGTTCATTATTTATAATAAAAATTCTAACCGTGTTTCAAGATCTCTTTTATATTAATACAATCTACATTTTTTCAAACAATAAAAAATGGAACACCATTCACATCAATTAATGTACTGTGTATATACGTTTGAAAAAATAATCAGCAAACTGAATGAGACGAATTAATATTAACCAATTTTATCTTGTGAAAACGATCGGTTGCACAAGACATTCATCAATATATTAACGAACGACAGAATATATTAACCACGCACAGAAATTCCTCGAGAATGTCATCCTCGGCTGTATAATAGCCGCAAACATCTCGAACGCACGGAAGTATCTGCAATGATTGCAAGGGTGAAGCCTCATAGAGAGGACAATAATTCGCCACCGGACATGATATCCACTTGCTGTCTGTACAGTAGGCGATTACGGCATTCTCAAGACTGGTCGATTCATAATATCCAGGGGATTGTTGCTGCTGGTGCCCGTAAACACAGCTCTTATATGGAAATGGATAAATGTTCGATTGAAGTTGATTTGTCAAACCATAGAAATTTCCAAGATCTTCGACATCCACGGGTCCAGACATCATCTTCCCACAACCTGAACTTGAATTAAAATCAGAAACACGCCCACAGTAAAAGGATTGCACTCCACAGTCCTCCCGTGGACGACGCTCCTGATAATCGCACATTACCCGCTTTCACAGCCGGACTTGGACGTGACCGAAGTCACACTAAGAGATTCGTTGTTAAAGAGTCAGCGTTGAGCTCGATTGCAGAACATAATCAGTCGAATTTAGATAATAATCAAGACAAGAACGACTCGTGCGATAACTGACGTACGATGTTGAGCCACCTAACTCTTAATTTAGTTATAATTGTTCTTTATTACTGGTATGATTGGCATAGTATCGTCTGTCGATATTAAGGAGTTTCATTCATTAGAGGTGTTAGATAGTTACCGAAATTAATTTTGTAGTTGGTTTCATGGGTTCCTACAAAAGAACTTTTTTCGTGATTTTTGTCTCTTTCTGACGACACTTATCACTCAACAAATAATTTCATTATGAATTGAAAAATTGGCAAGAATTAATTCTGAATTAATATTTGAAATTTGAATACAATCTTATATATAAAAAGTAATTTTCTTCATTTTTATTTCCAATTGAACATTTTAAGTTTATAATAGTTTTACATTTTGCTGTTTAAATATATTAATTACAAAATAATTAAGAAGACGAGAACAATCATATTCCTTTTAAGAGGAAAAATTTCATTGTTTTTATACAAAAAAAATGAATACTGATTAAATTATAAAACTTCAAAAGCCGTAAAAAACTAGTAGATAAAAAGATATTAATTCTAATTTTCAAAAATCTAGTATAGTAAATAGTAAACTAATTGAAATATTATTTTATTATAAATTTTTATTCTACTTATAAAACAATTCTGTATATTAATTTTATCAGTGAAAATCGATAGATTAATTTTTTAATTTTACTATAAATAATATTTTGTATATATTTGTAGTATATAAGTATGTAGTATGTAAATATAGAATAAATAAACACATACAATAAATTATGATATAAGAATGTATCATTATTACGTATTTTATTTTAATTGCATAATCTTACTAATAATTATGATTTTATTTTTATTAGTTAATATTTGGTTATATACAATCTATAAAATTGTAATCTGATATAAATAAATAAACTTCGAGTGATGAATAATTGAATCTTCCTGTACTATTATAAATTGTAATGACTAAACACTAATTTTATTTTTATTAATAAGAAAAAAATACATAATTAATAATATATAATATTATAGTTAATGAAATTTTTTTAAATTGAAAATTTCCAAATAATAATATCGCAACATGTGCATTATAGTTCATTAAATATAATAAAGTACATAGTAAAATAAAAAATAAAGTATTTAATTTTTTTGAAAAATTGTAATTTATTTTCTACTATTAAAAGTTACTATATATTAAAATTTTGAATTATTCATAAATTAACTATAATATTTTATATATGTACAATACAAAGAATGTCCATCAAACTTATAAGGGCATTCTTATTGCATTAGAACAAAATATGCTATCATTACAAATTAGATAGCTAATAATATTGCTATAAATTAAAGTTTATTATTGCTAATATTAAGTTTATTACCATATTTATATTATCACAAACATTTATCATTACCTACGAATTATATTCAAAAATTTGGTAAATATTTAATACATTACAATCTTGTAGTTACTAGAAATTAATATTTTACTACAAAATATCAAAATATAATTGTGTAATTATATAGCTTCTACACTTCGTAAGTGTAATGAAAAATAAAGTTATAATTTTGTATATTTTATAAAACGTAATAGTTAACTAAAAATATATACATATATAAATTTCGATAATATTGTCGTTAATTAAAAACTAATAATCATTTTAAATATTCAATATTCTTGAGAAATAATAACTTAATTTAAATTATGACAATTTCAAAATATTAAATATTTTAAGAATTTGCATTTTCACTTCAATACCATCTATAATAAATTATATTATTTATTTTCTTAAATTTTAATATATAATTAAATCATAAATATATTTCATTTCATAAATTCTACAATTATACAAACCTTAATTAGAATGTTCTCTATACATGTACTCAAAATTTGAAATTTCTTGAATGAACTTTTTATGACTAAATGAAATTTATATGACAAAAATCTGGTTGAAATACATAAAATTGATATTTATATTTATATTTATATACGCAATGAACAAAATAATGTGTGTATAAAAATGTAACATAATTCACTTAGTTAAAGCATTTCAAGAAAATAGTATTAGAACTATCACAAATTGATTACATTTCATTGAATAGTTAATGATTCGCTAATTAAGGTACTATATGAAAGAAATATGGAATTTTATATTTCACGACACAGACCTATGTAAACCAAATATTTCGAAACAATCAAATAATTAAACATTCAAAAAATTAATAAAAAAATTGTATACAGAAAATAACTTATTTTATTAATAATTAATTATATACATGATAAACTGAAAAATTAATAAAATATTCATTTATTTACAACCAAAAAAAAAATCTATTCTTTTTTATTGTAATAAATATGATTTTTACATTTTTTAAATAATGTTACATAGTTTCTTAGAATTCACTAATATTTTAATATATTCATATATAATTCAACATAGTCTTTTCGGCAAATTATTTGTCAAAATAGAATGTACGATAAAATAATTTTGAGAAACAATTAGTAAATTCAAAATATTAATATTTACACATAATATTTATTGAAAGAATCTAAAAAGATTACAATAAACTAATGGACTGATGCCATTAATTTGTACAATATAAACAAATTGCTTTATCAATATTTAACATTTACAGATTTACAATTTAGGAACAAATTATAATTCTTTGTAAGCTATTGAGTAATTATTTAATAACTCTATCAAATAATAGCAAATATTTTCAAACATGTAAATACTTAAACTATGCATATGAAGTTTGCATATTAATGTAGTATATTCACTAATAAATATAAAATTAAATAATTTATAATATTTTATAATATTTGTATCTATATTAATAATCTATTCTGTTTTTATACTTTTAAATAGTTTGAAGCAATATAAATGGTTTATTGTCAATTTATATTAAAAAATCATCGAGTACATTTTCTTCAAGAAATCAAACAATTTATTCCTCTGTTCTATTGAAATTGATTTCACCAAGTATAACAAAACTATTAAATATTTAAATAAAAATAATCAATTTAATCAAATTATTTTAAATATAAAACAATAATATTAAACGAATTACTAAGTATATTTAATAAAATAGACCCAATTACTTGTGAACCTTAAATTTTTTTTTATTTTATGAACATTATAAGCAGTCATATGAAAACATAATAGATGAATTTAAATAACGAAAAAAATATTTTTTAATCGTATACAATAAAAACTGTTAATAAATTTTCTAATAAAAATTTGGTCTCTGAGTAGCATATCTTAAATAATAGTAAATAGCCATTCTTTCAAGCTTGAAGCAATAAAATGTTAGTATTAATATAAATATGATTAAAGTTTCAATAATTGACTATTATTTAGTATTACATTAATAAAATTTTTTATTACAATATTTCGATTTTATATATAGTGTTAAGAAAATTCAATCTGTAAATTTTAATTGTATGTATCTAAATTTTTTAGATAGTAAGTCGAAATAAAATAGAAATAAAGTAGAAATATTAGAATACGTACGTTAAATATTAAATTTGAAATAATATAACTGTGTTACAATAATCACATATAATTATTTATTAACTTTTTTATTAGTTTTGTTTTACAGAGATTATTATTCGAAAACAGAATATTAAACATTATATAATTTTAATCGATTACATATTATTTTTAATTATGGAACATTTATAATCTTAGAACTCAGTTCGTTCAATAAAAAGTAAATAATTATTTTTGTTGAATGACATCAATTAAAGTTCATTACACTGGTAATAAAAAAATGACATTTTTAAATATTGAAATATTTATATTATTAAAATAGTTATTATATATAAGGTACGATTTAAAAAAAATAACTCGAAATTAATTTATATTTTATAATGTTATATAATGTTGATATAAAACGACAAAAAAATTAACAATTATTTTTACGTATATTATACCAATTAAAGACATCAAGGATATCAAAATCGTTCCAAATAAATACTTGTCGTATTACTTTTTTTTTACTTTTGTCGCAGCAAGTATAGGTAAATAATATAAAAACAGCAGATAATTGAACGCTATTAAAACTCAAATTTGATATAGATATTTAATATATATATATTTATCTAGAGATCACTAAATTGTGCGAGCAACATTTTAATATTTTATGAAAATTAATTGCGTCGATTATTACTATAAATACTATAATGCAAAATAAAAATCCAATCGAAATCTAAATTTAATAAAAGAAATTGGTCCTATGTACCATCAAATCTACAGTAAAAGTAATGAAGCGTCATAATTGTTAAGTTATTTCAAATTACTTGGTCAAAGATAGAATTATAGCGAGATGAACGAGAGAGAAACACAAAGAAAGAGCGAAGGACAGAAAAAGATGCAGATGCGCGGCGAAGAAATGTGGTAGTCGAGATAATTCTAATGAGCAACAAATATTCTTAAATTCAACATAGTTATTGGCTGGAACAAAAACTTTCAAAATATTTATTAAAACCAGGTGAAAGTATTTATGTAGCCTTACATTACTAATACATATCAAGAGAAAACCCAAAACATGCATGTCATTAACCTTCTCTCCCAGCCTCAAATTTTACCTTCAAATTAATTTATGTCCAACGACGATAAATCTCATTTTGTTATAGTAACAAAATTTTACAGAAAAAATAAGAAAAAAATTTTTTCGCCTTAGCATTTTAGCCATTAGTGCATTTTTATTTTATACCTAGTAAAAGATCATTAGCAACCGATTGTTTAAATTAATATTAATTCTCCTATATTAAAATATCTCGATTTGTTTGCCAAATTGTAAATCATATATATAAAACTTTTATAAGTAATTAAACATTT